ACTCAAGGTATATCTGGATGCAACCAATTTGGCCTGGTTTGGAGACCGAAACTCTGGTGGATGACCCATGCTGGAACATGAACAAGGGGAGTATCGCAGGTGGAGCCTCATCAACTTTAGATACCAAACACCTTCTGGGTTGCCTAGCCATGGTTGGACTGGAATGCAGGTTGGTAACAACTACAGTTCTTCCTGATGCAGTGTGGTTGCTTTTCTTTTTAGAAAAAAATAGTGCCGGTACTCACCATGAAGTTGTTACAGTAAGTGCCACACTTTAAACATTTGGAGAGGGAAAGGTGTCAGCATTGCGTACCCTTGAGCAGCCCTAGAAAAAGGCACTGTCCTGATGAATCATTCCCTGAAGGCGCTGAACTGGAAACTTCTGTTCTACCTTGTGCCTTTTGATTTACTGAGTGCTAAACAGATTCAAATTGGATCCTGTTCCCTACACAGAGCAAAGGCATCCTGCTTATGGCAGCGATCCTCTTCCCTCCTCCTCCAATGAGAAATCTTTGTAATTGATAAATTTAAAATATTCCTAGAAAAGGGTAAAACATGTCCTAAACAGGCAACTTTCAGGAAAGAACTACAGAGGCAGGTTGTTGATTTTCTCTCCACACCCAGGAGAGAAACTTAGGGCCCATTCAGATGGCCTATTTATTGAGCATTCATTCTACAGTGGTACCTCGGGTTACATACGCTTCAGGTTACAGACTCCACTAACTCAGAAATAGTACCTTGGGTTAAGAACTTTGCTTCAGGGCGAGAACAGAAATCGTTCTCCGGCAGTGCAGCGGTAGCAGGAGGCCCCATTAGCTAAAGTGGTGCTTCAGGTTAAGAACAGTTTCAGGTTAAGAACGGACCTCCGGAACAAATTAAGTACTTAACCCGAGGTACCACTGTAATTTGCTTACATAAAGCTTACGCGGAGGTTAGTTTATATCCAGTATATACTGGGCAATAATTGTTATACGGGACCATGGGAAAGCAAAGCTTCCACTAAAAGAATGACATTCTTAACACATTAATTCTTAATTAGGGTTGCCATATTGTGAAGATAAAAAAAGAGGACGCATTTGTCAACTTCTACTTATAACTATGGATTGCTATGATGACTCTAGCCATGAAAAAAAAGGATGTGTCCTGGAAAAAGAGGACATATGGCAACCATATTCTTAATGTCTTCCCCAGGAACTGTCACAGGGGGAACAAAGCAAGTTGACAGTTGGCGGGGGGACGGGGAGACAGGGTACTTACTTATCAATACTTAATTCTAGTTCAGTAATTACCTTGGGCATCTGTAAAATTAAAGTGTCAGCTTTTAGTATCCATGCAACTAATCACGGCCAATATGAGGCACAGCTTTCAATTCAGTACAGTCATACCTCGGGTTGAAGTAGCACCGGGATGAATATTTTCTGGTTGCGCTCCACTGCGACCCGGAAGTAATGGCGCAAGTTACTTCCGGGTTTTGCCGCTCACGCATGTGCAGACGCTCAAAATGACATCACGCACGTGCGCCGAATCACAACCTGTGCACACGCAGACGCGGGTTGCGTTTGCTTCTGGATGCGAACGGGGCTCCGGAACGGATCCCGTTTGTAGTACTCCTTCACACAGCACAGTTAACCTATGGAATTCACTCCTACAAGAAGCAGTGGTAGCCATCAACATGGTTGGCTTAAAAAGAGAATTAGACAAATTTGTGGAGAATAAGGCTATCAGCAGCTACTAGCCCAGGTGGCCATGATCTGCCTTCACTGTCAGAGGCAATACGCCTCTGAACACCAGTCGCTGGCAACCGTGGGAGGTGAGAGGGCTGTTGTGCTCAGGTCCTCCTTGTGTGCTACCCACAGGCATCTGGTTGGCCACTGTGTGAGAAGGATGCTGGACTAGACGGGCCACTGGTCTGATTCAGCAGGCTGTTCTTATGTTCCCAAACTGGCTAATTTAATACTTGTTTCTCTCTCTCTCTCTCTCTCTCTCTCTGTGTGTGTGTGTGTGTGTGTGTGTTTACTATCTTAACTTCTTAGCCCAAGCCTGGGAGTTGAGTTACACCACCATTTTGACCTGACAGAATCAGAATTGAAATGGAACATTTTAGGCAGGAGTCTATTCTGAAAGATTTACCTTTTTGTCCAGACAGTTAGGCAGCTCATACTGAGTTGACCCATATTTCAAACACCCCTCAATTCAAAAAGTGGGTCAGCCCATTAAGGGCTGGCTGGTGATCTGTGCATGCAATGAACTACTCATGCATATATTTTTGCATGTGGGAGAAAAAAGGCACCTTAGGCTAACTTCATTCCAGGTTTCTGCCTCGGCAAAATGTATGCACTATGTTTTCCGCACTTAATTCCCTTGAACAATAATAAAATTAAATTACATTTTTTAATTGGTGTTATCTTCAAATATAAATAATATTTATCAGAATTCTCATAATTAACTGCTGGTACTCTGGGTTCTATAATTGTACTGCAAGGATTAAGATTATATATTTCAATGCCAGTAACATTGGGTATTATTTGCACTGAAATATATAATTTTAAAAAGATTAAATGAGATCTTTCACACACCAAGTAATCTTTTTAAAAACCTCCTCGGTAACAATTTAAACTTTGCTCAGACGCTAAAATAGGGACGCGGGTGGCGCTGTGGGTAAAAGCCTCAGCGCCTAAGGCTTGCCGATCGAAAGGTCGGCGGTTCGAATCCCCGTGGCGGGGTGCGCTCCCGTTGTTCGGTCCCAGCGCCTGCCAACCTAGCAGTTCGAAAGCACCCCCGGGTGCAAGTAGATAAATAGGGACCGCTTACCAGCAGGAAGGTAAACGGCGTTTCCTTGTGCTGCGCTGGCTCGCCAGAGCAGCTTCGTCACGCTGGCCACGTGACCCGGAAGTGTCTCCAGACAGCGCTGGCCCCCGGCCTCTTGAGTGAGATGGGCGCACAACCCTAGAGTCTGTCAAGACTGGCCCGTACGGGCAGGGGTACCTTTACCTTTTTTTACCTTACTCTGGGTTCTTAGGGACCCCTATGACAACAAGGAGATATAAGTCGTCACTGCCACCTGATTTCACTGAAAGGGAACAAAATCAGCTTTACGGAGATTGGGTAGCAGCAGAAGGCTAAACAATTAGCACAGCACACTCTCATAGCAACTTTTTCCCTTGGGATCTTAAATGCTACCTACTTAAAAACCTAAGGCTGCTATTCTAAACACCCTTACTAACATATAACTTCTACTGAACACAATGGGACTTATTACCAAATAAATAGGCATATAATTGTACTGCAAGGATTAAGATTATATATTTCAATGCCAGTAACATTGGGTATTATTTGCACTGAAATATATAATTTTAAAAAGATTAAATGAGATCTTTCACACACCAAGTAATCTTTTTAAAAACCTCCTCGGTAACAATTTAAACTTTGCTCAGACGCTAAAATAGCAGCAAGGTAACAGCCTAGTTTCAAATGACCAAGTGAAGTATAACTATAGAAAACATTAAATTCAGTCCTGTACAGTTTTTAAGTAATCACAAAAAGAAACTCAAGTCAAAGAACAGTTCATATAGGGTTGGCACATTTTCCAGCAGGTCTGCTGTGTCCTTTAATGGCTCTATGAAAGACAGAAAATCATTTTTTAAAAAATTAAATATTTTTCATTTAATAGAAATTCATAAAATTAAGCTTTGTCCACCACACAACGATGAAGAGCATCACCCAGTGGCGTAGCGTGGGTTGTCAGCACCCAGGGCAAGGCAAGTAATTTGCGCCCCCTAACCCATGGATCTAGGTAGGGGCAGAGAGCTGCGAGTGCGAGCGCGCCCCCCCCCAGATGTTGCGCCTGGTGCGGCCGGCCCCCCTGCACCCCCCACGCTACGCCACTGGCATCACCTGACCATTTATGCACTGAAAGGTATTGAAACCCACAGATTCATAAATCACCTAAGAATTTTGTCCCTTTCCTGTTAAGCAACCTGAAGGTTGGAAAGTACAGAGCACACACTCCCCGAAAGCAGAAGAATAATCTGAAACGGTGATAGGGGAACCTGTTCAGATGTTCTTCACTCGGACTCCCATCACCCTCAGGCAGCACAGCCAAGAGCCACTGATGATGGGAGTTGTAGTCAGACAGCACCCCATCTAAAGGGTTGCAGAGAAACGAAAGTATTGTGGTAAACCACTTGTGGACTGAACCCCTCCCCTGAAGAAATTCTGCTCCCCGCTATTCTGCAGCCTTGTATTCTTACAGGCAGGGAGCGAACGCTAAGAGGCGGCCTTTGTGCCCTCAATAGTCGTGCAGAATGGGAAACGGCGGCATTTCCTCACCTCCTGCTCAACAGGACAAGCAGCACCTGCCAAATCCGCCCCCCCCCTTTTGCATGGCACAAAAACAACAGGAAAAGCAACGCTGCCACCCCAAACACATTTGCTCCGGCGTAACTCTCCCCGCCCCCCCCACCCCCACCCCGGCCCGTTTCCTCCGTGGCGCTGTCCTTCCCCCGAGCCCGCGCTCCCCAACAGGCGCCGCAGAAACCGAGCCGCCTGCGAGTCAACTTGAAACCGCCCGTGAGGGCTGCAGCAGTGGCGCCGGCCTCTCTAAGGCGCTGTTTGAGGTTGCCCTGGCAACCGGGCAGCACAGACGGGGCGGGGGGGGGAGAGAGAGAACCCCCTTCGTTATTGGCTGAGGGGCAGCCCAGAAAGCTCCGCTTCACGAGCCGCAGAACTCAATGGACTTTTTTTTTTTTTTTTTTGCCTGCGGCACTGGGGCAATTAGCCCGGCTGAGGCGCTGCTGCTGCAGCTGCTGCCGCCTCTTGCTAAGCAGGGCCCGCCGTCCCCTCCGCCCCGTGCCCTTCCGACCAACGTCACCAGCAGAACATTATGCATATATTTTGTAAGGGGACCCCTCGCCCCCCCCCCGCCGCCTTGAAGGTCCCTGAGCCGGTGGTTCAGCTGCCCGAGCGAGCGAGCTCCGCGTCCTCATCCCGCGCGCGCTCACCTCTCAAGGAGACGCCGCGTCCCGCTTTGTCCCCGGGCTGCTCTGAGGAGGAGCCGCGGCGGCGCCCGAGGGAGAGAGGCGCCCAGCGAAGGCGCACTGCTTCTGCCAGCGGGACGACCTCGACTGCGCTCCACTCGCTGGTACGCGGCGGCGGCGGCGGCAGGAGGAGGAGGAGGCGCCACTCTTTCTCCCACGCTCTCCTTGCCTTGCCTTCCCCGCCTCCCCTTCTCCTTCCAGCCGGGTCTCCTCCTTGCCAGTGCGCAGAAGCAACGGCGGCGGCGGCGGCCACGCATTGTGAGCGGGCGGCGAAGCCGGAGGACGCCGAGCAACACACCTGCCGGAGGAGGAGGCGGAGCCTGAGGTTCCTGGGGCGGAAAAGGAGGCGGCCAGGGGAGGGAGTCCCGCCCGTCCGTGTTCAGCGCCGTCGCTTAAGCGTAGCTGCAGGCGCCTTGGAGGGGGTCAGGGCAGCCTGGAGCCCCACACAGCTCACGGTCCTTTTCAACGGATCCGACCCTAGGAACCCATTCCTAGGGGCCGAGGGGTCTTCGGGCCACCCAAAATATTTGAGGGGCCCCCTTCCAAGTTGATGGGCATTGCCATTCAAGTGGGGTGCGCGCGCCGCATCATGGCCCCTCCCCAATGTTTTATTCAAGTTGGCACCCCTGAGTCCAACCCAGACTTCCCTACCTCTCTGTGGGCCATTCCAAGGGAAGAGGGCGCCCGCTTATAACCCGTGTCCTGGAGTTATAGCTTCCAAGTGACCCTCACTGTCAATATTTGGCAACAAGTGACTTTTCAAATTGCTTTCTCTTATGCTGCCCGTTAGAACTCATTAGTTGTTGCAAAGTGAGTAGATTTAAGTATCTAACTCACGTGTGTGTGTGTTGCTTTGATCCAATTTGCTCCGGAATATCACTGATGGAGTAGGTGAAAAATCCTGTCACTGCCCCCTGAAGTGATAGGGTGCAATGTAGAACCAAAGATCAAACACCACCATTTTCCTCTGTAAAGTTGCCATATCGGGCAACTGAAGAGGACAAAACAGTACCGTTTTGATTCTGTACTTTATCTCGATGTATTAATGGAATCCAATCAATTTTGAGACTGCTTGGGGATGACTTAGTTGCTCTCACCTGCTCTCACAACTCTTGCTGCTCACAAAGAATAAAGTTAAGGTGCTGAATATTATCAGATGCATCACTTGACAAAGCATATTCGTTACCAGTCAGGGATTCAGAATGAGAATGTTCATGAGAAGAAGAGAAATGAAGCAAAAGATTTAATTGCCTTAGACGATGTACAAAGTCACTGGGCAGTACAGTGGTACCTCGAGTTACATATGCTTCAGGTTACATACGCTTCAGGTTACAGACTCTGCTAACCCAGAAATAGTACCTCGGATTAAGAACTTTGCTTCAGGATGAGAACAGAAATCACGTGGCGGTGGCACGGCAGCAGCGGGAGGCCCCATTAGCTAAAGTGGTGCTTCAGGTTAAGAACAGTTTCAGGTTAAGAACGGACCTCCGGAATGAATTAAGTACTTAACCTGAGGTACCACTGTACAGCAAAAGGAGAACGTAAAGGGAAGAGGATTTATTTGCATTTTCTGTTTATGATTATGTCACCCTTTGAACTTCAAGGTAGCTTGTAGCCTACTTTAGTGTTCACGTTGGGCACATGGCAAGCCAGTGACCCTGTGTTGATTGATAAAACATCTCCCATCTTCATCTACACACTGCAGAGGAAATTTAGTAGCAGTAAGAAAAATGTATTCCAAGTGAGTTGCCTCACATTACCAATCTTCTTGTTATTTTTGTTTTGTTTTGTTTTTTGTGGTACCCATGCTATCTAGTAAGCAATGTGAGGTGCTGCATCTCCCATGTCAATTGGCAGAAGTTAATTGGCAGGGCATGGAGAATAAAAAGGGTTCTACAGAGCTCAAACTTAAATGGATTGGTGGGGGGCAGACATCCTAAAAGGAATCTCTTCTTCAGGAATAGAAAAATGTTTGATTAACAGGTGTGCATTTAAAGCTTCAGTTGGTTAATCCCATCAGTTAAAATCTGTAGCTGTAGCAATGAGTAATTATCAGCTGCCTGGCTACCATTTTACCTCTGGAAGAATGTGTGGCTATACAGTAAGATGCATGGTGATAGGACGCAAACAAATTGTCAGTACTTCTTCCTAGGATAAAAAAAAGGTGGACAAACCTTCAGTAGCAGCTTCAAAAGCCACCTGCAATCACCTACACTAGTTGTGAACATCATGCCAAATGATGATGATCTGTTAACCAGCATGGGAGAGAGAGAGAGAAAATAGCTGTCATGTGGCTAGCATCTGCTTCAAGGTCTGACACATCTGACACTGCTATAAAAGGAAAACATATTGCAAATCAATAAATGTGTTTGCTATCACCTCTTAAATAAGTAAAGATTGTAAACTCAGAGCTAAAAAGACAGATGGTACTTTGTTGGGCTCACAGTTAAATTCTCTCTGTCCTTTATTAATTACTTCCTACTCACACCTCTGAAGAACAATATTAATGGTGCTGTGCACCATCTGGAAAAGTTAGAATGTAGCATGCCTCCCCTATCCGAAACTGAAATGGCCTTAAGCCAGTGTAAATTACTTACCCCAGCATACATCTCTGCTTACTCTGGGGTGACAAAAAGCCCTGCTAGTGTGAGTTACATCAAATATAAAGGGCAAAGAGAGGACGAGGAGTGAGTGTATTGGGGCAGGAAGAAGGATAACCAATCCTCCAATTTCGCTATACAATATTCTAACTATTTTCATTTACTGGTCAGAGTTCATTGGCCACAGAGTACCGGTAACTTACACCACCCCAAATGCATGTGTATTTATAATTTACTCTGTATGAGTCAATGGGAAGGCACAAAATGAAGGCTGATATTGTGTGCGCCTGCACACACACATGACACCACCTGGCCAGGAGCAGTTAGGACATAACTTAACAAGCACAGGAGATACCCCAGCATATCTGCCTGAATAGCATCACTCTTACTGTTGTTCTCCATAAAAATACAGTCCAGTACACCAGAGGGTTAACTTGTGGTTCTTTGGAAGTTGCTAGACTCTAATGTCCATCAACTCCAGCCAATATGGCCAGAAGTCAGGGATGATGGGAGTTATAGCCCAGCAACATATGGAGGGCCAAAGATTCCCCTTCCCCGCCCTAGGCTGTGTTCAGGATTGCAGTCCAAAATTTGCATTTTCATGAACTGTTTCACAGCCTGTCATCACTAGAATTCACAACTCTCAAACTGCTACTTCCTCTTTTAAGAGCTCTGGAAGTTGAGCGCTGTTTGTTTTTATACCAAGTGAACCAAAATAAGACTGAGCATCTGGGGAAGAGATCATGATTATCTTTTATAGAGAGAGGGAAGGGCAATTCTGGTGCTTGTTTTTTGTAATATTGATTGTGAAGAATCAAGAAACCAACAAATTAGCAGAAAAACAATAGAAGTCTTTTTAAGATAGATAAGAAATAACAAATACATAGCAACATCTGGTGTGTGTGTGTGTGTGTGTGTGTGTGTGTGTGTAGCAGCTAGTTCATACAGTCATTTCTTTCTTTTGTGAAAAGTAACCACAGATTAATTTGGTTGTGAATAGTGACCATGATGGATGAACTAATACAGGCAGAACTTCATATTGCACAAACACAGGAGCCTTCAGTGATACATACTGGTTATGTGATAGCATGATTCCTTAATAATTTACAGCTTTTGCTGATCCTCCAGTTCTGAATATGTTTTATTTAATACGAAACTTGATACCACTTAAACCAATGAGTAGGAATCACTGTTTCAAAATAATAGCAGCCAACCTCCTGAAAGGATGGCCTTTGCCTGTTTTGCTTCACATTGTTAGCCAGACATACACAAGACCCACCCAATGTTATTGCACATTTTATGTCTCCAGCCCCTGCCCCTCCAAATCCTTGGCTTTCCTGTAATGTGTTTATTTTTAAAGTATTTTTTTATTAAAGATTTATTGGTTTACAAAAGTATGTGCAATGTCTCTTTTTTCAAGTTACATTTTCTACAGTTCAGTTTCAGTTGTTGTGACATTAGTGCTACATTAGGAAGAAAAGGGGTGAAGAAGTGGAGGGGGGCATGGTGAGTGGGGTTGGGGTTGGGTGGCGATGTTTCTATTTTACTTAATGTATGTGTGGGGTTTTGCATCAGCGTCGTTTGTGTAGGTTCTCTTTGCTATTCGCTTGTGTTCCTTTGGTGGTGAGAGAAGTTGGGGTTGGCCTAGGGTGAGGTTGCTTGTTTGTGGTGAACTTTGTTTTCATGAGTGAGTGGGGTGGGTGGGCGCTTTGAATTAGGTTAGTCATATTGATTTATATGCTTTTGGTGAATTCTTGTCATTGTCTTGTTGGGCTGTGTATGTGATAATGGGGAGCCATACCAGGGTGAAGGCATCTTCTTCTGTTTGTCCCTGTGTCAGTTTCAGTTTATTGGTTAATTTTTCCTAGTAAAGCTGTTTCCCATACTATTTGGTACCACTGGTCCACGCTTACTCCTGACAGGTCTCTCCAGTGTCTGGTCTGATGTTTCCGGTTGCTGAAAGTAGGTGGGTTATGAGTTCTTTGTGATGTAAGTGGGCATTATCATCTTGGAAGATGTTTAGTAGAGCCAATTCTGGGGCGATTTCTAATACAGTGGTACCTCGGATTAAGAACTTAATTCGTTCCGGAGGTCCGTTCTTAACCTGAAACTGTTCTTAACCTGAAGCACCACTTTAGCTAATGGGGCCTCCCACTGCGGCCGTGCCCCCGCCACATGATTTCTGTTCTCATCCTGAAGCAAAGTTCTTAATCCGAGTACTATTTCTGGGTTAGCGGAGTCTGTAACTTGAAGCGTCTGTAACCCGAGGTACCACTGTACTTGCTTAGTTATTTCACATATTTCTTGTATGGCTGTTGTCCAGAATAGTTGGATTTTGGGGCATTCCCACCGTTGAGCAGAGAAGGTCTGCAGGGGGCTTCTCCTGTTTGCTTGAACACCAGTAGAACACTTTGTTCAATTGGAGGGTCATGCTTTATCCATGTCTCCAATCACACCAAGGGTCCTGTCTGCATTCGGATGAGCATGAGGAGATGTCCTCTGCAGATATTCTCCATGGCCAGGGACTGAGTGCACAGAGCAATGTAGGAGTGGATATTGCATGCACACCCTTGCTCATGGATACAAAATGTGTGTGTCCAGACAGACACCTTATGGCAGATCATGCCCTGCGTGAGGAGTCTCTAGAATGTACCCCTGTATTTAGAAAGCCATAAGCAGGCATAGGCAAACTCGGCCCTCCAGA